ATTCCGGATTCACGCAAAAACTGCTCGGAGCAACTTATAGGCTACCTTTTATCCAATTACGGAACTTCAGAAAAAGAAGGTTAAGTATTTTCTTTCCTTTATATCATCATCATCATCATCATTACAGCCCTTCACAAGTCCACTGCTGAACATAGGCCTCCCCCAAAAAATGCCACAAAGCACGGTCCTGAGCCACCTGCATCCATCGACTTCCTGCATGTCTTACCAGGTCGTCACTCCATCTCGTGGGGGGACGCCCTACACTTCGCCTACCGGTACGAGGCTGCCACTCGAGAACCTTTCTTCCCCATCGGTTGTCGGTTCTTCGAGCTATATGGCCGGCCCACTGCCACTTCAGCTCACCAATCCGTTGGGCTATGTCGGTTACTCTGGTTCTACTGCGGATGTCCTCATTTCTGAGTTTATCACGCAGAGAAACTCCGAGCATAGCCCTCTCCATAGCTCGCTGAGCGACCTTGAGCTTCCCCATACGGCCAGCAGTGAAGGACCACGTCTCAGTTCCATAAGTCATCACTGGCAACACGCACTGGTTGTACAATTTCGTTTTCAGGTTTTGAGGTATGTCTGACGAGAAGATGTGTCGTAGCTTCCCGAACGCTGCCCAGCCGAGTTGAATCCGTCGATTGACCTCTCGGTCGAAGTTGGACTTACCTAGCCGGACTATTTGTCCCAGGTAAACATACTCGTCAACAACTTCGAGCTTAGTGCTCCCAACAACTACCGGCATAGGTGTGACATGGACATTGAACATGATCTTTGTTTTGTCCATGTTCATCTTAAGACCTATCCGTTGGGAAACACTATCGAGGTCATTGAGCATAGTGCTTAGGTCCTCCAGCGATTCTGCCATAAGGACTATATCGTCGGCAAATCGAAGGTGAGTGATGTACTCGCCATTGATGTTGATACCGTATCCTTTCCAGTCCAGAAGCTTGAAAACGTCTTCCAATGCAGCGGTGAAGAGTTTCGGGGATATGACGTCACCCTGTCTTACACCTCTCTGCAATTGGATAGGTTTCGTACTCTGGTTCTGTACTCGGATAGCCATCGTAGCCCTACTGTACAAGCACTTCAACACTTCGATATACCGATAGTCAACTTGGCACCGCTGAAGGGACTGCAGCACCGCCCAAATTTCGACGGAATCAAAGGCTTTCTCATAGTCCACATACGCCAGACATAGTGGCAAAATTGTACTCTTCGGACTTCTGTACAATTTGCCGAAGGGTATGTATGTGGTCTATGGTGCTAAAGCCCTTTCGGAAACCGGCTTGTTCGGGAGGCTGGAAATCGTCAAGTCTGCGCGCGAGACGATTCGTAATGACTCTCGAAAACAGCAGGTAGACGCGGCTCAGGCTTCCTTTATATGTTAAGTTTTTATTATATCTTAGTTAGGGATGACAGGTTTTTTTCAAAAAAAATACCATTCTTTTATAGGATAAGGGTGACAAACGAGCATACAGTCCACCTGATGGTAAGTGGTTGCTGTGGCCCATATACATCTACATCTATCTTCGATTACAAATCAAAATGCAGATGCGTTGTCACCCGTGAGGACTAAGATGGAATGCCTCGTTTCCAGTAAAAAGGGTCTCCGGTTCTCTACAGTCACCAAACGAAACACAGCAGCGTTAAGCTGCTTTTTCACGCTGGTATTCTGTGAGAGCGTGGTCCTTCCCCGGTCGGGCCGACCCGTTCGTGCTACAACCATAATATAGGTGCAGCATGGCTCTACCACGTATATTACACCATATTTATAAATAAATATAATGATTAAAATATAGTTATAACCTTGGTAAAATAATTTGAAACTACGCCGATTTTTCTGCCCACAAAACTCTATAGGTAAAGAGGAGCCCTGTGCACAGTAGTGCGACGTATATTTGCTGCTACTTTATTTTTTACTTTTCTTTTTTTTTGTAATTTAAGATAGTTTTCATATTTTCAGACATAAGAGATACTAGGTTTTTACCCGCGGCTTTGCTCGCATGAGCAAATTAATGATGTTCCTGAATAATTTTATATCGGGCGTGTCTTCCGATGTATCCATAAAAAATTAAATTGACTCGAAATCAAAATGTGTTATTATTATTTACATTTTACTCACCGCTGGTGAAAAGACTGAATCTTTTCTCGCTAAAAGGCATAGGCCATTCAGCGAGGAAATGCAGACAGCGTTCTTGGCACTCTACCGCGGGGAGTAGGACTGTGTGATAATTTAACTTTTTAGATAATTTTTTTTTTGATGATAAAGAAAAGATAGCTGACGTGAAAATTCTTTGGTATAATATGTTATATATAAGAATTTCTCAATTCAAATTAAACTAAAAACTTAAATTAGTGCCTAGTTAATTTTTTTAAGATTATAAATATAAGACTAGGGGAGTGCTTTTAGCCGGGATGGAAGATGTGATTTAGATATGGACAGGCGTGTCGCTGCCGGGAACAAAGTCAATGGTGCCCTGACTGCGTTAGTCAAAAGGCAAGGCGTAGTGAAGATTGCACGCCTTGCAATACATAACGCAGTGTTGGTACCGACTTTGTTATAAGGCAGCGAAACCTGGGTATGCCAGAAGAAGCATAAAAGCAAGTTGAATGCAGTGGAGATGCGATCTCTTCGTAAAATGTGCGGCGTTACCATGGCCGACCGAACGCGAAACGAAGAGATTCGCAATATGGCAGGTTTGAAAGATGACCTTATCACAAAAATTGATAAGGGCGTGCTTCGGTGGTTTGGGCACGTTGAGCGAATGAGTGAAGACCGAATGGTGAAGAAAATATATAGCGCGAAAGTTAATATTAAAAGGTGTCGAGGTAGACCGAGACTAACTTTCGAAGACCATGTGAGCAAATTGCTGGAAGAGGGTAGGGTCAAGAGTACTCGGATACCTAGACGTGCATGTATGAAGAAGATAATGAATCTGAAAGAAGAGTAAGAGGCTACCCCGTCAGGGATTGTGCGTGAAGATAAGTAAGTAAGTAATAAATATAAGATGGCTGAAGTGAGAAATTCATTGGTATATGTTAAGTGTAAGAATTTACACGTGAACGTGACGAGAAATGTAATTTAAGGATTAAGAGCGTATCAAGACGGTCTCAACCTTACAATGTTTAAAGTGTTATCAGAGTGAGGTCAGAGACTTTTGTTATAATTTAATACTGAGCACTTAGATTTTTGTATAAAGTGACAAACGAACTAACGTCCTAAACTAACTAACTGATAGTAACGAACTTGAACTAAACCAACCAACTTAAAATAAAAAGGCTATGGATGCGTTGTAACTGAGGACTAATATATATCCTTTCATAGCCTGTTAATAATTATACTGACTCTATATACTGTTCAGACCTGAACGTAGCAGTGCAGGCATTGCTATTTGGCGGCAATTATGGGTACTACTAATACTGTAGAGAACCAGAAGTACTTCGAGACAGAAAAGGTTTTTTACCACCTAGTAAAACGAAGTAACTTGCCATCTTGCTTGTAGTAATGCCAGCCAGTTTAGCATGCTATTTTGATTTTGATATAATGTTTACCACTCTCAAAACTATTCGTATCTTATAAATAACGTGCAGTGTGTAATGAAACGATTGCTTCAATTTATGTTTTCTTTATAGGATAGGGTGATAAACGAGCATACAGTCCACCCGATGGTAAGTGGTTGCTGTGACCCATAGATATCCACATCTATCCTCAATAAAGAATCAAAATGCAGATGCGTCGTCACTCGTGAGGACTAAGATGGAATGCTGGAATTCCAGTAAAAAGGGTCTCGTGTTCTCTACACTCACCATACGAAACACAGCAGTGTTAAACTGCTATTTTACGCTGGTATTCTGTGAGAGCGTAGTCCTTCCCCGGCCGAGCTAACCCATTCGTGCTATAACTATACTAATAAAGCTGCAGCATGGCTCTACCACGTAAAAAAATGTATGTTATGTAAAAATGGTTATAAATTACTATATGAGTTCATAGAAATCTATCTATATATCTAGTTATTTCTGCATAGTACAAAAGGAAATCCCCGGCAATCGTCTGTCCTCCTGAATGTCTGTGCTAATTTCGAGAACCGCTGAACAAATTTACAAGCATTTTACATTGCTATGATTTATTGCTGAAAGATTTGGTTGTATGAGAAACTGCCCTTGCTCATTAAGAAGCTGAGTATTAACGATAAAAAATATTATCAATTAATCAAGTCAGGAAAAATTTTGCTGTAAACTCCTTCTATATTTTATACAAAAGTAAAATTAGAAAGTCTTGTATTCTTGAGTGTTACGAGTACATCCGTACTGTTTTGCTAATTTTAATTAAATTTTTAAGTATCTTTAATATAGATCGTCTACTCTTTCTCTATATCATGCTTAATGCGATTAATAAATAGGTCTTAGAGGGTTTTGGCCGTAGATCGAAAAGGGGAGATCTCCCACTGGATTAGGTGTTTAGCCCAGGTAGCGGCTAAAACTTTATTTTACGCCATTATGGTTATTCGGTTCACTTTACGCTATTATAACGTCACATACTGTAACAACGCCGCCACAGGTTGAAAACATCTAAATCAGCCCATTTAATTATTTTTATACTTATATATATATATATATATATATATATATATATATATATATATATATATATATATATATATATATATATATATATATATAAATGATATCAAATAGGTTTTGGACCGGAGAACCTTTTCATTGGAAATGAGGCATTCTCTCTTAGTCTTCAGGGTAACAACGCACCTTTATAGTGATTCCTAAGCGTAGATAGATGTAGATGATGTCTATGGACCACAGCATCCATTTACCATCAGTGGAATGTGTGCTTATTTGACACCCTTATTCTTTTAAAAAAATCGTACAAGTGTATAATCAAATTAAAAAGAGAGACCGAGTGATAAATAATAGTTATTGTTCATTAAAATGTATTGTTTTAAAGTTATAAAACGAAATACAAATTAGTAGAAACTTACCGCAACGTGCTGCCGTTAGTGAAGATAAAGAATGCAACTTCTGATCTCTCCTGCTGAAGCCTGGTCACCAGTTTTCCGAGTTCTGTCGCTCGGCTGACCTGTTAAAAGTAAACAATAAACTTATTTTCATAAAGAAGAAGAAAGATACTTTCAAACGAAACTACAGGACGCATTGGGGCCAGTTTCTTGCTCTATAAACCCTCTCAGAAAAGAGAGAAGTTCAGTATTTCGCCGTATATAGGCTGTAACTTTTTTAAGCTTTAGTTTTATAAATAAGGCCGCTTGTTCATTGGTCGGTACGATAAAAATAATAATAATATACTTCAGAAGGAATTTCTGCCACTGCGGCCAGTCTCAACGGAGACTAGCCATCTGCGCAGGACAGGATTATCGTGCACAAGTGCATGCGCGTACACAGGTGTATTCAATACTCCCTCACCCTCATAGTCCGATGGGACTGTAATCCGATATGTCCCGAGAGAGATCAGGCGCACCATTAACGACTTTACGTGCTGGCACAGGCACAGGAGTGAAATACCGCCAATCCGGACAATGTCTTTACAGAAAAACCCAATAACTAATTTTGGCTCGAGCAGGGATTCAAACCCGTGACCTCGTGATCAGCAAACACGTTTACGACGTACACCAACGAGGCAGGTATGACAACTATTCAACGTCGACCGACTTACCGACGTTAAGAATACACATTTTTTGTCGACACTACAACACTATTTTTTTTTTAATTTAGAGTCCTAGAAGTACAATTTACATTATGAGTACTCGTATTATTAGCATCATTATGCGTATCACTAATTTTGTAAAAAGGAAGAAAGAAAAGATGACAAAATGAAATATTTAATTCTAGTCGGTGCGGATATTAAAATACAATATTTATTTTTAGAGTAAACATTAAAAGAAACCTTAATGGAAAATAAAGCTGCAAACTTTCCATTGTTCATTCAAGTTTAAATAGAAATCTATTGGTTGTCTATTAGACTGCCTTAATCGTCGCCTTGTAATTAAATGACTCCTCAATCACTAGATTCTAAAAGAAAATATATTCCGTTCTTAGTAAATGCTATAAATTTTCATATAAAACCGTTGCCAGTGAAGGCGACATACAGAGTAGTGAAGAGTCAGACATTATCAGAGAGCACTTAGATATTCATGGATTGTGTAACATCCCAATTTATGTAAGAATCAACCAACCAGTCAACAGTTTTGGCTTGCTAGATGCTATAATAAGCAACCAATCCAGGCTAGATCGCTGCAGGCACAGATTGGTGTGATCGAAGTTTTACTCGGCGATTAATGAAGCGGCGCAAAAAAAAATCAAATCTAATAAAATGAAATCCAACCCCAAGCATACTACTGCAAGTCTTCGAGATACTGTAAGCTCGTTCTCCGTAGATTGGACCAAAAATTAATAATTAAAAGTTGAAGATAGCCTTCGATAACTATGATACCAGGACGTCAACCACCGTGACTATGGCTGTTGTAAAGTGCCCCGAAACGTCAGGAATTAAAAAATTTAAATTAAACGCGATAAAACCCGTAAAATTTGTTTTATTTCATTTTACAAGCTGTTATTTTTTTAGTTTTTTAGTAAGCCGTTTTTTTTTTCAAAAAGAAGTCCCGCTGGGTATCTTGTTGGTCCTTCCCAGGACAGTGGGTTTTTCCGAAACAGTGGTAAATTAAACTAAGGAGTGACTTTCAATAAGTATTATTTATAATCTATATAAAATATAAGTTTCTGTTCTGTTGTATTATTTATAATCTATATAAAGTAAAAGTTTCTGTTCTGTTTCTGTTATAGTTTTACTGTTGCGGATGTTATTCATCGATCGATTTAGGACAAATGCTCTGTTTTGAAGATGTTCAAGTTCATTCGTTCATTCAAAACTTCTTCTTCGTCGTGCTTGTCCTGAAATGCTTTCACCGATGTGTCGACTAGCTTCCTCCATACCACCCTGTCCTCGGTTTGTCTCAGGACAGTCGGAATATTAAGTCCTGTTATATTTTGAATCTGGTCGGACCAGCGGGTAAGTAATCGCCCACGTGATATTTTTTCTTCGATCTGTCTGGTTGTCTGGTTATCTTCAGGCAATATGACCAAAATAACTTAGGACTCGTTTGTAGCATATAGTGGATAGTCTGGTAGTAATCTTTAGTTGGTCGAGAATAGACTCGTTGGTTCCTTTTGGTGTACACGGTATACGCAACATTCATCTTTAACACCACATTTCGAAAGTCTCGATCTTCTTTCGGTCAGCTGCTCGGATTGACCATGATTCGGCACCGTACAGAAATATTGAGAATACCAAAGCTCGCACGAGTCTGGTCTTGGTGGTATTCGACACTTTCCTGTTTGCCATATTCCGGTTAACTTACTCATTGCTGCTTTGGCCATCTGCATATGTCACCGAATTTCTTTGTCACAGCCTTCCCGATTGCTTATAAGTGATCCCAGGTACACAAATTCATTTACGAACGCCATGTCTGCGAGTTCTCCGGTTCGTGCAAAAGTTCGTCAAAACTACAGCCTATTAAAAGTCCGCTGCTGAATATAGGCCTCCCCCATAGATTACCTCGTAGGGTGATTTTTTTTTAATATAGGATAAGGGTGACAAACGAGCACACAGTCCACCTAATAGTAAGTTGAAGACAAAGGGATTTTGTCGTAGTTGCCACGCTTGGTGGACAGGTTGTTGTTAAACCGTGTAGTGGATGTGTGAGAATATCCACTACTCCATATTGTCCCGTGGGTGTCGTAAGATGTGGCAGAAATAAACTAAAACAGGAGGTGGGCAGCCGCATCTTCCTAAACCAAAGACTTAATAATTTAAAATTAAAAATTTTGTACAACCGACTTCAATATAAATTATTAAGAATAACTGTAAAACTATTCGTCAGACCTTAACCAAATTTATATGAAACCACATGTGAAGCACGAGATTTCAAATAAAAAAGTTATGAGGTAACACACATAAAAAAAGAAAAAAAAAACATACGGTCGAATTGAGTACCTCTTCCTGTTTAAAATAGGTAGAAAAATAAATGTAAATGGTTGACATCTGATACACTTACAAATATACGGGCCCTTTAAATTAATGAATAGTCTGTATGTATATTTTATCTGTGGCATGTCCTATCGTTGACGCTTAGAGCGTTGGGAGTTGACACTGCATAATTAAAATTTTATATCATAAATCTGACGACGACAGTAAATAAACAACGTATATTTTTGTTTGATTAAAAGTCACACTATACCTGTTCTTCCACATCAGCCACCTCTCTTCCGTTAGTAAGGCTATTTTTCAAGGACAGCGTAGTTTGAACGATCAGGGCCAGAATAGGGATGAATGGCAGGAGCAGTAATCTCCACAATTGACAGCGGCGACTTCGACACCACCGCCGTATCTTTATACCGAAGCTAGGGGCCTTGGCTTCCATTTTAGTGTTTGTCGGCGATGCTGTGGACAATAAAAAAAAGGATTTTTTTTAGATAAAATCAAAAGTAATCCTCAGACATACGTATTGTACAAACGTATAGAAGTATAAATATGTATAAAGTAACATATTTATATTATATTATTGAATAATATGGGAAAATAAGTTAGTTTTTTTTTTCTCTCTTGCGGCTCTATCCATAGCTCTCACTACACTACCAAAGTTTAGCTGGCAGAGAATGCCTTTTCGGCATTAAGTTCGCCTTTGTACCAAATGTATGTTTGTTTGAGTGCAGTAAAGTATTTTCTATCTATCTATCTATCTATTGGTGAGTAGGGGTTAACTCAAGCAGCAAATAATAAATACCAAAGTAAAAAATAATTTTAATAATTTTGTACGCCGATGATCAAGTCATATTTGCATCGTCGGCGGCCGAGTTGCAAATGATGGTTACTTTAATGAATTGGTCATTGAAAGAAAGGGGTATGAAAGTGAACGCAAGTAAGACGAAAGTAATGGTTTTTGAAAGAGAAGAAAGTAAAACTTTATGTGAAATAAGAATAGAAGCGGAGTTGATTGAGCAAGTGGATGAGTTTGTATATTTGGCATGTTTATTTAGCAGGGATGGTAGATATGATAAGGATATAGAACGACGAGTGAACGCAGGAAATAGAGTGAATGGGGCTCTACACGCTATTATGAGGAGTCAAAATGTGTCAACTAAGGCACGTATGGCAATTCATAATGCTGTGTTAGTCCCTACTTTAATGTATGGTAGTGAAAGTTGGGTCTGGCAGAAGAAGCATGAGAGTAGAATAAATGCTGTAGAAATGCGTTCCTTAAGGAGTATGCTAGGGCTGAATCTGAATGACAGGGTAAAAAATAGTGTGATAAGAGAAAAGTGTGGTTTGCAAGATGACGTTGTGACAAGGATTAAGAAAGGACTGTTTCGGTGGTTTGGTCATGTAGAAAGAATGAACGAGGAAAGAGTGACTAAGCAAATTTATGTTGCAGAAGTGAACGGCAGGGTCGGGAAGGGACGCCCTAGACGAAGGTTTATCGACCAAATCGGCGATACATTAATAATGGGCCAGATTAGGAGTACCCTTAACCGACGAGCGTGTATGCGTAGATATATGGATGTAAAAGAGGCGAGAAAGGTCTGTCAGGATCGCGCCAAATGGAAGTCCGTAGTCTCTGCCTACCCCTCTGGGTGACAGGCGTGATTGTTTATGTTATGTTATGTTTTTAAAAAATAATTCTATCTAGTAACTGAAACAAGAATTATTCACTGCTGTGAGTAACAAGTGACTCTGAACACGGGGCGCTGCAGGCTACTGTTTCACCCACCCGCGCTATCAGAGCTCAAAACGAGAAAGCCAATAAATACCCCCTTGAGCAGTGCGGTGGACTAATCACACCGTATCCTCCCCCAACTCTTTTCTGGACCTCTCTTACCAACCTCTGTCATCAAGCACCCGTGAATTCATTAGTGTGTTACGGTTTTAATAATTCTAAATTTGATATAATTTTTCGTCACTAAAATATTATATATAGGGTCATTAAAAAAATGCTTCGTTCTACAAACAAAATGTTAGATTTTAGATGTTATTGTGGTATATTTTAAATATATAATGCTCGTTTCATGTCAGTTTTCATGTCACTTCGGGTCTACAATAGCAAATTCTAAATCAAATTCAAATTCAAAAAGTTAATTTTGCGAATATAGTTTGATACAGTTGGTGTTTAATTAGTTTATCACTTATAGAACAAAGATCTGGCACAGTTATATTCTGCCCTTTGGCATGCAATATTCATCACATTTTATTATTTTAAATAAAATTACTTATACATGCTCTAGTTATAATTGGAGTTCACATGAGACATAATCAAAAATAATAGCGATAAGTCAATTTAGATAATATTATATAAGTCAATTCAATTTAATTATTCTGAGTCATGTAACAATCAATTATTGAATTTCATATTTGTCTTCGAGATATTCTTTCACAATGTAGTATGCCCTATTAACAAGAAATTGCTTCAATAGTATTTTAAACTTATCTATATTGGAGCATCTCAAAATGTGTATTGGTAAATGGTTATAAATTCGAGAAGCCGTACATAATATACTGTTGTAAATTGGGCTGTTTTGTTTGATGGAAAACATATTTTGTGATTATTACGTTTACTGTGTGGACACTCAAATAAATAAATATGCGTAATAACAAAAACGACTACCTCTAATATATATAAAGGCATGGAAGTGTTAACAGTTTCAGACTAATAAAAAAATGTTTTATAACTATCCGTCTGTTTTAACTTCACAATGGCCCTTACACATCTCTTTTGGGCACTAAATATCATTTCATTGTCTACAGAGTTACCCCAGAGATGATGCAATGAATGCCAGCTAAATTAGTAGCATAACGCTGCCATTTTAGCTGGTATTCGGTAAGGGTGTGGTCCTTCACGCATGAGACAACCCAGTCTTGAATTAAGAAAACTAAAAAAAATTCCGAGTTTCATAAAATTTTTAGTTTCATCATTATCATTATTATAGCCCTTCACAAAATAAATGCTGAACATAACCCTCATCCAAGGAACTCCAAAAAGCATGGTCCTGGGCTGCCTTTTTTATAGAATAAGGGTGACAAACGAGCACACAGTCCACCTGAACGTAAGTGCTTGCTGTGACCCATAGACATCTACATCTATCTTCGTTTGCGAATTAAAATGCAGTTGCGTTATCAGCCGTAAGGACTAAGATAGAATGCATCTTTTCCAGTAAAATGGGTCTCCAATTCTTTACACTCACCATACGAAGCACAGCAGCATTAAGCTGCTATTTTACGCTGGTATTCTGTGAGAGCGTGGTCCTTCCCCGGTCAAGCCGACTCATTCGTGCTACAACTATACTATTAATATAGCTGCAGCATGGCTCTACCTCGTAAATATAGCTGCAGCATGGCTCTACCACGTAAAAATCCTGCATAGACTTCCTGCATCTCTTACTAGGTCGTCACTCCATCTATTGGAAGGCAACCCTACACTTAGCATATTGATACGAGGTTGCCGCTCGAAAACCTTTCTTTCTAATCAGTTTTCGGTGATTCGAGCTATATAGCCAGCCTATTGTTGCTTCAGCTTACTAATCCGTTGGACTATGTCGGTTACTCTAGTTGCACTGCGGGTTCTCATTTCAAACTCTATCACGCAAGCAACTTCATAGCTCGAAGATAAAAAGTTATGTAAATGAGTGTTCGTCCTCTCAACAAAAGAATTTCTTTGTAACGTATCTAACAAAAGCAAACAAAAGAATAGAATTACGATTCTGATGTATTTTTCGCGAATATAATTCGCTAAGGCCGTATAGTTATATTGTATGCGGATATCTGAAACGGCGGAGTCCAAAAGAGCTTAATTTTGACTGTTACACGTAATAAATAAATAAATACTTTATTTTTTTATATTACAAACATAAACAAAATAGTAGATAGGTCCACCTAGTATGTTTAAAAGAAAACTTATATCAGGAATCTCCGCTCTGCCTTATCTTTAACAGGGTTAGTTACGTTGGTACTAAATTAAACTGGAAATCGCCTGTATCACTTATTACATTTTATGGATTAGGGGCGATTTAGAAAAGGTAATTAATGTACGTATTTTAATGTAAGCTCAAATGGTATGGACGATGAATGACGTGTGTATGTGTGTGCGTGTGAATGTGAGTGTGCGTGTAGAAGTCAGAATTATATAGATATTCCAACATAAAAAATAAATAAAATAAACTAAATAATAATACACAAGAGTAAAAGGCGTAAGAGATTCTTATACTCCATTTAAAAGACGACTGTGGAAAATGTCAAATAGCTCTTATATTTTTCGATATGTGACATTATATAAATATTTCGTTTACGTACGACGTAAAAACCCAACCTGTCGGCGGACCGCAATGCCTCTGCTAAGCATTACTATTAAGAAACAGCCTAACTACAAAGGGGAGATCCATAACCAGCAATGGACTTTCACGGACTGATGAAGTAGAAGAAAAAGAATAAATTAAATATGGCAGACATGAACTGTCCAAAACTTTGTAGATAGGCACGCACGCACGCAAACATTGATATAGTGAATAATTTTAAAGTTATTTAATGACTTTAGATTCATGTAATAATATCTACCATAATTTAAAATACATTGACCGGGAAACCGGGAAAATTGTAATATTATTGTTTTGACACGGGTTAGCGCGCCGAAAATGATAATATCTCTCGCTGACGTATCGTTAGTTGAAAACTCTCACTGATAATATAATTTGACATAATGGGAGCAGTATGTCGGTAACGGTGACGTATTTAGAATATATGATGTGTGTATAATGTTTTTAATCGATGAATATAAATACGAGTATATAACTCTATAGGTCTTCAAGATACCTTCTTTTCTTAGTTCATGCACTCAAGATAGTAATATATGGAAAAATTGGCAAAATTAATGGAGGACTTTTATCTATCGGCATATGTACGTTAGTCTAGTTTCTGTGATGTTAGTGCTGTTAGCCTACACGGCTCTTACAGCTTTATCGATCTCAGGGCTGTAAAAAGATGATTTTATTCTGCATCGTTACTTGCATAACGTTCACCTACGACAGTTTAAAGTGCACGTAAATGAGGTATCTAACGGCCGTCCGAACAGGGGGTGACTCTGAAGGCTAACAGCTCTTATCGTTCGATGTTCTCGGTGGTGAGAACCGCACAGGGACGCAGGTGTACGGTATGTACGCGGTGTGAAAGGGTGTGCGGCGCGCCCGTCTGTGTCCCATCCGTTGTTGTTTCAACCGTGTAAGTGGCTCTAGGTGATTGTTTTTTTTTTTTTATAGAATACGGTGACAAACGAGCACACAGCCCATCTGATGGTAAGTTGTTGTTGTGATCCATAAACATCTAGGTACATTTATCCTCAATAAAAAATGAAAATGCATATGCGTCGTCACCCGTGAGGACTAAGATGAAATGCCTCT